TCGATACTTACATAATGCCAACCTTAGTATCCTGACCTGGCCTTCAGAACCTAACCATGTTGACAAGTGAGGAATGGGAGCAGTTGTCGGGGTTGGAGTGGAGGGAGAGAGGCATGTGAAGGGATATGAGGAAGATTTTGGGGCAATAGAAGCGCTCCGTATCTTAGTTCTAGAGGAAGTCTCACAGGTATACAAAACTGTAAAATTTATACAATTGGATACTTATGCCTCAACTAAATTGATTAAAAAACAAGACTGAGTGTAGGGAGAACAAATATCTTAGATGGTTTGATTCCATTTTTCTAGACTAACTTCTGTCCAGGCTGCCTGTACATATTCACAAGATGGCTGTGGTGAAGCTCATCAAATGTTAATAAAATGCTTATTTTTGGGTGTCTTTGAAATGTTCCCAATTGCTTGAATTTTTATTTACAAATAGAAGTCACTGATTTTAAAGGTACATAAGTTTATAATATTGCATTTGTTTTGCTGAGCATTGTGCTAAAAACAAGATGCAAACGACAGGTGCTAACAGAACAAAAGCAGACCTAGTTTCCAGCCCTGTTCCAGCTGGGCCCGTATTTACTCAGCTGGTCTCCTCTTATCACAAGGAAGTCTCTTTTTGTTCTCCCCTGACTTTTTAAATAACAATGAAGATACAAATTCTGTGTAGCTCACCAAAATGCGTAGAAATGACTCTAATTTATTCTAACCGGTACTTTCAGGTGAGCTGAGTCCAGAGTAAGTCCACACTATTTGAATATCCAGTGTGGGGCCCACAACACCCACCAGAGAACATTGTCAACATGTTCTTGACTCCTGATGATCATACGGAAGACACTTATTTCTTCTTCATTCCTGCTTTGTATAACATGAGACAGGCTGATGAGGTTGATATGGTAAAGCATAAATACAGCTATCATACACTTTGTAAAGAAGTGTTTGGAATAATAACAGGGGTCTGTTATTTATGCGGGGCAATTTACTTTTGTTGTTTCTATAGGAGTCACCCACTGTCATGGAATAGATTATGACTCATAGTGACCCTGGATACGGTTTCTGAGTCTGTAACTCATTACAGCCGCAGGAAGACTCATCTTTCTCCCATGGAGTGACTGGTGGGTTTGAACTACTGACCTTGTGGTTAGCAGTCCAGAGCTTATCGTACAGCACCCCCTGGGCTTCTTATTCTACAGGACAGCCTAGTCTAAAAATGTAGGTTCCTGCAAATTTGGCTGACAAGGTTTCCATCAATTCACTTGGTTTCAGAGATGATTTCTACTTGTCTTTAGAATGCAGGTGGTTCTAATCCTCAAAGCAGTATATCCTATAAAGACATTTTAACCAAAAGCCTTAAAATGTGAAAAACAAACTGAGTAATGTTCATGAAATGCCAACCTTGCTACATTTTAAAATAAGGGTTTCCCTTATTTTTTAAAAACAAGTTGTTTGTTGAGTATGGACATTATTTCCTTATAACATTAAAACAAATGAACAAAAAACCAGGCAAATTACATTGTTCCCCCAAAATATAAAATAACATCGGATGATTACAACTTTCATTTTTTGAGCATGGGATGTGACTACTAATAAACAAACTCAGTGTGGCTGCATTGCCTAGCAACGCTGTTGACAAGGCTTTACACGCCTGCAATTAGCAGGTTCAATGGCATTGTTGAAAGGTCCTCACAAAGACTGTATGGATTACTGAGATGCAATATTCCTTTTGAGAATGAATAATAAGTCTTTTAAATAGCCATCAACTCCAGTTCAGTCTACTGAGTAAATAACATTAAAAAAATTTAAATGGAAAACCCTAGCCATAAACTGTCAAATCCCAGAAGGAAAACATAAAAGATACCAGAATCCTTCTGATGCTACGCATTTAAGTATCTGGCTGTGGTTTTTGAAAACTATCTTTTGCTTTAGTAAATAAATCATACATGATATCTGACACCATTTGCGTCAAACATATATAACTGTGAAATCACATGAAAGTACAGAAAATGCTTTTTCAGAATTGTCCCCACCAGCCAAACACTTAACAAATCGTGTAATAACAATGTTCGCTTACCTTCCTGAATTGCTTTCAATTCTACTCCTTTTTCTGATTCTCATAAAATAGATTATCATCATTTTCTTGGCTTTAGATTTGCATGCTGGAACTACTAGAATTCTGATTTTTAAAAATGCAGATTCTTGGACCCAACTCCAGAAAGCCCAGAATCTGTATGTTTGATGGTTTCACTGTCCCTACCCTGTTAAATGAAAGATTCTGATGCCACTGGTCCAAACACCCAGGTCTGAGAACCACTGATCTGGCAGTATGGGCTGTGATTCCCTGAGAGCGGCAGAATCAGAAATGCCACAGTGGTTTCCGGATGGAAGGTTAGTATAAACCCTTTTTGTTGTCAAATTGATTCTGACTCATAGACCCTCTAGAACAGAGACCTTATAGAACAAAGATTCTATAGAACAGACCCCATAGAACTACCCTATAGAGTTTCTGAGACTGTAAATCTTTACTGAAGCAGATTGTCACATTTTTCTTCCACAGAGCAACTGGTGGCTTCTAATTGCAACCTTTCGTCTAGCTGCTGATCATTTAACCACTGCGCCATCAGGGCAACGCCACTGTCATCCAGGTAATTCGGACGCATAGTGACCACACAGGGCACAGGAGAACTGCCCCCATAGCGTTTCCTAGGCTATAATCTCTACAGACGCATACTACCACATCTTTCTTCCAAGGAGCAGCCGGCGGGTTCAAACCACCAACCTTTTGGTTACCAGCCGAGTGCTTACCCACTAGAAACTGAGGAAAAACAAAACACACTTTAGAAAGCCTATTCTTCCTATTGGTGGTGGTGGTTATGTGCGCTGGAGTTGGTTCTGACTCATAACAAGCCTGCATAGCAAGGGTGGAGAACATACCGCCCGTGGGCTGTATAAGGTTCTCAAAAATCATTTGTTCTGGCCCTGCCAATGCAACCATAGTTACGTCACATTGTTGTTAAGTACTGTCGAGTCGGTTCTGGCTCATAGCAACCCAGTGTAGGGTTTCCATCACATTTTGTCTTGTTCTTAAATGCCGTCCAGTCACATTGGTGGTGGTGGTGGTGGTGGTTATGTGCCGTGGAGTCAGTTTCGACTCATAGCGACCCTGTACAGGGTTTCCGAGGCTGTAAATCTTTACAGGAGTAGAAAGCCTCATCCTTCTGCCCCAGAACTGCTGGTAGTTTCAAACTGCTGACCATGACATTAGCATCCCGATTCGTAACCACTATGCTTCCAGAGCTCTTTTGTCCAGTCATATTAGGGGTGAGTTAATTAAATGTTTGACCAAATATAGCAGGCTATTTTTTAAAAAGCTTTTATTACAAATTAAGTGATAGTTTACGTTGTAGAAAATCAGTTTGACACTCAACCGGCAGACTAATTTTTAAGTTGATAATTTTGTGTGGCTCACAAATAATGTTATAAATTTGGCAGAAAAAAGGTTCTCCACCCTTGTTGTATAGGGTTTCTGAGACTGTAAATCTAAAATCTCATCATTCTCTTGTGGAGCAGCTGGTAGATTTGAACTGCTGACCTTGTGGTTAGCGGTTCGTAACCCACATTCTAATTAAGTTTCTAACTTAATTAATATGTTGTCTTCAATTCGATAACAACTCATTTTAATTGCTTTTGTCTTGGAACTTTCTCAACAGATTTTGGAGTACACTTACATTACATCCACACCTTTCCACATCAACTATCAACACTCATGGAAGCAGCAGTCAAGAAATCAAACAACATATTGCATTGGGCAAATCTGCTGCAAATCTGCCTTTTTAAAGTGTTGAAGAGCAAAGATGTCCACTTGAGGACTAAGGTGCACCTGATCCAAGCCATGGTATTTTCAATAACCTCATATGCATGTGAAAGCTGGACAGTGCATAAGGAAGACCGTAGAAGAATTGATGCTTTTGAGTTATGGTGTTGGAGGAGAAAGCCCATTGAAAGTGCCATGGGCTGCCAAAAGAACCAATAGATCCATTTTGGAAGAAGTGCAGGCAATGTGCTCCTTGGAGGCCAAGGTGGCCAGATTTTGTCTCTCATACTTCGGACATATTGTCAGGAGGGACCAGTCACTGGAGAAGGATATCATGTTTGGTAAGGTGGAGGGTCAGAGAAAAAGAGGAAGACCCCCAACAAGATGGATTGTCCAGGTGGCAACATCAATGGTCTCAAGCGTGGCAACAGTAGTGAGGTTGGCCCAGTATTGGGCAGTGTTTCGTTCTGCTGTGCATAAGGTAGCTATGGGTCAGTATGGACTTGATGGCACCTAACAACAACAACAATATACTCATCAAATAGAGTTGCCAAAGGGGAGGAGATGGACTACTGCCTATAGAATGCTACTAGGACATGCTATGTTGAAATCATAGTGAACTCAAAGCCACAACCCACAAAAAGCTATCCCTAACTCCACCTTCTTCTCTCCTCTCCCCTGCCCCAGTCCTCATGGAATGTATCATTGCTTCTAGAACTCTTAGTGCTCCTCAGATGGCAGACATCAGATTCTGTCTTACTCATACCTTCTTCCTGAACTTGACTCATTCAGTGGGACCATGCCTGTCAGTGAAGGTTCTAGACAAGAAGGGCTCAGCAAACGCTGATTAAATGAATAAGTAATCAGTGGTTGATGGCCTCCTTTCTTCTTTACATTCATTCATACTTTGGGGTGCACAGAGCCCTGTCACATTGCCATAAGCTTTTTCTTTGTTCCCCTACAAGATTTAGTGACTTTCCTAAGGCTACATAGATTTTAGTTAGAATTAAATCCCTATATTTTCATCCCATGACTTTTTCTCCTCTCCTCAGCTACTTCCAACTTCAAAATTTGTAATGTAGTAATTTCTGTCAGTTGACTTCGATATTATTAATCGAAGGGTGTCTGGTTCCATGCGTTTTTGTGGGTTAGGGTTTTGATCCAGCGCTCACTAGAAGCTCTGTACCTCATCCTACAGCACAGTCTTACTGTACTCCAAGTGGTACCTCTCCAAAATGGAAGATCCATGAAGCTTTGCCAGGGGAGATGTGGACCTAGGAAGAAAAGGATATACCACTGTTATAGCTGCTTAATTTTAAGGAATACCTGGTTGAAGCAAATGGTTAAGCATTCAACTACTAGCTAACAAGTTTAGTGTTCGAACCTACGTGGAACTACCCAGGTGATGTGTTTCTGAAAGACCACAGGCTTGAAAACCCTATAGAGCAGTTCTACGCTGCACACATGGGTTGCCATGAATCCCAATCAAGACAGCAGCAACTAATAACAGCGTAACTGTTGATTTTACTTGTTGTTGTTATTTGTATGTCGTGGAGTTGGCTCTGGCTCACAGGATTTCCAAGGCTGTAAATCTTTATGGGAGCAGAAAGCCTCGTCTTTCTTCCTCGGAGCTGTTGATAGATTTGAACAGCTGAACTTGTGGGTTAGCAGCCCTACTTGTAACCTACTACGCCTCCTGATGTGACGCTATGGGCTAATGCCCTGGACTGCAAAGACAATTTGAACCTCAAGGTCAGTGGTTCAAGCTCACCAGCTGCTCCTCAGAAACCCTATACAGGGTTGCTATGGGTTGGAACCAACTCGATGGCACTTAACACCAACAACATGCTACCAGTGCTCCTCCCACATCTGTAAAGTGGTCAGAAACATCATCTTGTAAAAGTTATTTTTAGATTTAAAAGATGCCCTTCAAAGACAAAAAGCAAAAACAAAAACAAAAACCATATGACCTTCAAAGAAAAAAAGCAAAAACAAAACCAAAAACCATACCAGTCCTTAAAAAACCAAACTAATTTGCTGAATGCATAAGTGAGTGAGCTGTTTAAAGTAGTTAAGTCTGGCTCATCCCCTGCACCTAAAATCTTTAAGTTCCTTGGGGTTTGTGGTGGTGGTTATGAATTATAGAAAGTGTAGCAAACCTGTTGAAGGCAGTAGGTGCAGGTTATTTGCATAGGAAGTGTCAACTCTTTCATGGCCGAACTATTTTCTGCTTTGGAGTTTTTGTTGATGCCATATGTTTTCAGTCATTGAAGGCATACTGACGTCAAGGGAAAACATTTTTTTGAGGTAATATGGGCTTTGATACAATTATGTGGGACACATATGTCCCAAGTGAACTCTGGAGGTAGAATTGGTGGGGTGAGGCCTAGTTCTTCAGATTCATGTAGTTATACAGGTTCCTGCCAGGTGGTAGTACGTACTATAACTGGAATAGAAGCTTCCAAAGGAAGCTGAGAAGGGGGTAATATATTAATTCAAAGTGGACTGCAAGATCAGTTTGAACCACAAAGTCAGCAGTTCTGACCCACCAGCCACTCCTCGGAAACCCTATAGAAGGTAACTAGTAGTCGGAACCAACTCCACGACCCTAAACAACAACAATATATGTCCCAAGGATCACAGAAGGGTTAATTAAGAATTTTCAGACACCAACATGAAAATCACCATAAAATAATATCTCTTTCCTCCCTCAAGACAGTGGAAGAAAAGTAAGCCTCCCACTTGCTGATGGGACCTGTGTCTAGTACCCTGTCTCCACCCTTTCCTGATGAAGATTGGGAAAGCCATACTGAAAATTGAAAGGTGAAAGGTTGGGAGGAGGCTGAGAGTGAAGATCTAGACATCTTTATGTGAAGACTTTGTCATGGAAATATGGAATAAATCATTTTAAGGGAGAAAGAAATAGAAACTTGGGTGGTGGCCTTCCAACTGGTTCATTCCAGTTCTCCCCCTGCTGAGAAGTTGCTTTTCACCACAGACATATGGAATCAGGATCTACATGTTGAACAAAATGCCCAGATGTTTAACAAAATCCTCAGATAAGACTCAGCAATCTTAACAACTGAAGGGATCCCACCCTGTTTTCAGAGTAAGTTAGCTTTCTCTCTTGTAAGTGTCTGTAGCTCATCTGGGCTCATCTGGGCGGATATAAAACCCAGCACGTGACCGAATTTCCTTTTAAGGGGAAAAGTACATGAATGTCAACCAGGTGCCCACATTCTTTGGGATCATCTACATAGGGCTTTGTGGTTTCCAAAAAATCACCCATCCAGAAAACATAGTCCTGGTGAGGTGCTGTAGGATAAGCACTAGACTTCTAATAGTAAGGTCAGCTGTTCTAATCCACCAGCCACTCCCTGGAAACCCTGTATAGGGTCTCTATGAGTTGGAACCGATTCGATGACATTTTCCAGCAACAAGAACAACACGATGGTGGGTTATATATCCGTTTCCCACCACGCTCAGTGGGAATTTTGCAGGTTTGCAGTTTTTTATAGTGCTCTGTACCTACCATGGAAGTCCCTGAGTGGTGCAAATGTTAAGCACTCAGCTATTAAGAGAAAGACAAGTGGTTTGAGTCCATCCAGAGGTAGTCTGAAAGAAAGGTCTAAAGACCTACGTCTGAAAACTCAGTCATTGAAAATCCTCTAGAGCATAGCTCTACTCTGACACATGTGGGATAGAATTAGTTCAACAGCTGGGTCAACAGATACCCACCATCAGCAAAGCGAACATGGTCTGTCCCACACTGAATCTGTGCCTCCAGTTGTGGTATGTGACGGAGCGGCACCCTTTTCTCACAGTGTACATCCATCTGGTGAGAACCTGCTGCCAAAATAACACACTGCATTTCAGACTTCGGAATAGAATTCCAAAGGTTAGAAGACTGGTGGCAATCTAATCTAAAAAGATGCCAGTCTTGTTTACAAGGTTTCAGCGGATATGTTTACAAAGTTAACAGTGATTTAAAATCCAAACTGAAGTTGCTCTTTGAACCACAGAAAACCTTGTGAAGTAACACAGCAGAATTAGTTAAAATACTACCTGACCTCTAGGGGCACTTTGAATTTCTCCACCACATTTATTTCAAAGAATAGTCGTAGGCCACACTTAATCAATCCATGCTCAGTAATGGTGAAGTCACTACAGCAGAATTCATACAGTTCTTCTTTGTTTGGGTCTGGCAAGGCCTTTTTCTGTTGAAACAAGGATGTACTGTTTCACACTATATTTGCCTTTTTCCCTTTATATGCACATATTCAAAATCTGGTAAAAAATTCCAATGAAAGAATTCTACATGTAATTCACTAAGCCCCTATGTGCCAGGCACTGGGTTATTTGGTTTACATACTCTCATAACAATCCTGCAAAATTATCCCTATTTTACAGATGGTGAAACTATGATTCTGCTATAGGAAGAAGTTTTCTAACTGATAGGATTCAATTCTAAATTCAGCTCTTTTGGCTATTTTCACTCTGTTGTTGTTGTTGTTAAGTGCCATTGAGTCGGGTCCGACCCATAGCGACCCTGTACAGGGTTTCCGAGGGTGTAAATCTTTACGGGAGTAGAAAGCCTCATCTTTCTCCCGCGGAGCGGCTGGTAGTTTCGAACCGCTGACCTTAAGGTTCGCAGCCCAATTCGTAACCACTACGCTACTCTACGAGGTTATAAACAAAGCTTGCAGTTACCATCAGCCCTATAATGCCCTACATTACTCAACTTCTCGTTTTTTCCCATTCAAGAAACACTCAGTAAACAATCTTTTCTAAGGATTCATCCTTAACACAGTGATGGATGAATCAAAACAAAACCCACTGTTAAAAATTCATTTCTGGCTCATAGCGTCTGGTGTTGTTAAGTGCCGTTGAGTTGATTCTGACTCATCATGACCCACTATAGAGTTTCTGAGGAGCAGCTAGTGGGTTTTAAATGCCAACATTGCGGTTAGCAGTCCAGAGCTTGTCCTATAGTACCACACCAGGATTCCATAGTGACTGATTTGTTATTGTTACTAAGAACCATAGTGTTGGTTCTAACTCATAGCAGCCCTGTATACGGTTTCCGAGGACTGACTGGTGGGTTTGAACCACCAGCCTTGTGGTTAGTCCAGTGCTTATCCTACAGCACCACAACAACCCTTTTTTTTGACAGAGGAGAACTGCTTCTTAGGGTTTCTGAGACCATAAATCTTTCTGGGAGCAGACAGCCTCAGTTTTCTCCCTTGGATCAACTGGTGGGTTTGAACCCCTGACCTAGGGGTTAGTAGTCCAATGCTTAACACATGGTGTCACCAAGACTTCTTAACCGAATGAAAGACCACACTTTATAAGTCTATGATGCAAAGACTTGACAAAAATAAAGGTTTTTTTATTGGCCCAATAGGTGGGGACTCTGACTTCACAGGGCTGATCCTCTCCTTGCTGCAGAGGCCCACAGTGAGGGGATGCAGCAGAGGAAGCGTTTGCAGCTGCCATCTCACTGGGCTATAAAGTGATTCCACTCCAGGCCTCCTACTTCCAGGTTGGCTCCAAGAGGGGAAAAAGCAGGGAATTATTAGGTTAGTCTTTGGGAAAATTGCCTTTCTTTCTAGCCATAAAGGTCTCAGAAAAGAGGAAATCCATCATTTATTTAAAAACAGAGACAGCATGGCCTAATACATTTTGTTTAAAAGGCATTAAAGAGAGATGGAGAATACTTACTAAAATTGTGACAAGGTGTTTTTCTTCACAGCCTTCAATTACATCTATATTTAGCTTCTCTTTAAATTTCTAAAATGTGAAAACAATTGTATGAAATTCTGATGCAGTAAGAAGATCTTTATTTGATTCCTCTACTATTAACAGCAATTAAAATAAACTTAAAATAGGCTCTAATGAGTCCTGTGACAAAGATGTATTCTGGCTCCAAAGAGGACCTATATAGCACCTGATTATGAAAAATTTTATATAAGATATAATGTAATATAATTTTATTTTTCTATCTCCTCCAAACATAACAGTAGCTGTCTTAAAAAGAAGAAAGGAAGGAAGAAAAAGATAGAAAGAGAGAGATAGGCAGGAAGCAAGACGAAAAGAGTGGGTTGCTTGTATATAAATGTTGAAGATTGCTATATCATGTTTAAACCTTGTACCTGTGAATGTGACCTTGGAAATAAGGTCTTTCTTTGAGAATGTTTTCAGTTAATAAAGTTATACCTGAATAGTGTGGGTCCTAATCATTTCTGAGTGGCCTTTTATGAAGGGTCAAAAGACAAGAAGTGGGGAAGACAGATGTTGTGTGACGTCAAGGAATACCAAGAACCACCCGGGAGCTGCCAGGACTCCAGAACCATGAGCCCCACTCCATGGTGTCTTGTTACAGCAGCCCTGAGAAACTGAGACAAGAAGGAAGGAAAGGGGGAAGAAAGAGAAATAAGCAGCTTTCATTTGTTTTTCTATTAGTTAATAGCAATACCCTTCATCTCCTCCAAAACACTCTCCTCTTCAACATCTCAAACTCAAATCAACCTTCTTTTAATTCACAAACCACCCAGAAAAAAAAAAAAACTAAACACAAATAAACAAACCTACCACCCACTCTAAAAGCTAGTAAAATAAAAGCAATGGAGGTAGTGGGTGCATGCTATTTTCTCCTTTATTTTATGGTTATAAAAATCCTGTTATCAAATACACCCACTCTCCCCCATCATACACGATGTTTGTCTTGACCGTGTGGCTTGCTTTGACCAAAGAGAATGTTGATAAATGTGATGTGAGCAAAGGCTGGCAAAGTTGGGCTTGCTCTCTTGCATTTCTCCATCATCAAGAAAAGACTATTAGTCAGGTAGCTGCTCATTTAAGGAAGATGTGAAACATGTAAAGCACATCTAATCTGATTCACATCTTAAAGCCAGGTCCAGCCAACATCAAGCAAAACCCAAAGCCTGGTCAATCCACAAATGAATGAATGAAGAATAGATGCTTATTGCTGTACACTATTGAGCCCTGGACTTCTGGTGTGGCACTGTGGACCAGCACTGGACTGCAAACCACATGATTGACAGTTCAAATCCACCAGCTGCTCCTTGGAAACCCTATATAGGGTTGCTGTGTGTCGGAACCGACTCAACAGCACAACAACAGCTGAGTCCTGGTGTAGCTCTGTAGGATAAAACACTGGACCACAAGGTTGGTTTGGACTGCAAAGTAATTGGTTGAAACTCACCAGCCACTCCTTGGAAACCCTATACAGGGTCACTATGAATTGGAATCAACTTGACAGCACTTAACAATAACAACAACTGATACGGTTATGCAGAATTATTATGGTAATAGCTTACTGGTATATTTCTCTTCATGGAAATTTTTTTTCTCCTTGCTAACAACTTGAATCTAGGTGTCACCACTTTGGCTCACTACGGAAGCTATTACAACAAAGCAGTTTGGGAGTCCAGTAAGAACAGATGTATTCTGGGCCACCTAGGTCCTCCCTTAGTCCACCTTGTCTGAGGAGTACAGCTTCTCAGCGATCAGAGCCCTGGATAAGGAAGTAAATTCTAGAAGTATTGGTTAGATACCCTCCTAAGATCTACAGGACTGAATTCCCCACTTTCCAGTATAGATTTAATTTCATCAGGAGTGGCTTTGGTCTGGTTCATGAGCATTTCTTGAGCAATGCCTTTTCTGCTTTCTAGTTTATTCATTCTCTCATAGGTGTCAGTATTTAAAAAAGACCATCCAAGAAATTGTGTGAGAGTCTGAAATGGATAAAAAGTGATTCTGATTACCTAAAATTAACTGAAAATTGATTTGGAGGCAACATCTGCCTGCATTTCAACCCGCCAGTCTTCCTCCCACATTTTTAATGACACAACCAGTTTCATCTACAGTAAACCCCAAACCCTTGGCATCTGACTCATAGCAAGCCTGCAGGAGAGAAGAGAAGTGGCCCCATAGAGATTCCAAGGCTATAAATCTTGATGGAAGCAGACTGCTACAGCTTTCTCCTACACAGTGACTGCTGGGTTCAAACCACCAACCATTGGGTTACTGGCTGAGTGCTAAACGACTGCACTACTGGGCACCCTTAATCACCCAGTACCAAAATTCAATCTAAGAAAAAGCATGTTAATATTCAATCACCCACTCATGCCGTCAAGTTGTCTCTAAGTCATAGCAACCCTATATAGAGTTTCCAAGACTGTAAATCCTGATAGAGTGCTGGCGGGTTTGAACCGCTGACCTGTGATTAGCAGTCCAGTGCTTATCCTACCATTGCCACCAAGGCTCACAGACAATAAAATTCACTAAACCCTTGCTGTTCAAAGTGCAGTCTTCAGATTAGGAGCACGTGATTCACCTGGGAATTTGTTAAAAATCCATAGTCCCTACCCCAAACCCCCAACACCTACTCAAGTCCCAGACCTACTGAATATCAATCTACAAGATCTCCAAGCGATTCCTATGCATATTCAAGTGTGGAAAACATCGAACTAGGCCTTTTCAGAAGCCTTTCCCCTGCGTGGTGACTGGGACCTGACATCTCCCCCTTAGACCTTCATTACTTTAAAACCTTTGCTGGCCTGTAAATGATCTCAAGTGGATCAAAGGATCACCCATGTCCACCTTGGTGTAAACGCAGAATCCAGAACAGGTTTAGAAAGGGAACAATCATCAGAAATTCAGGAAGTTGAAGGCACTAGAGAGGCAACATGGGAAAAGAGTGAGTAGGGGAAGAACTGTGAAAATCAACTACATAATTAAGAATTCTGTCTATTCATAACCACTGAGAATTATATAATTATGACTTCTGAAAATGATGTACCAGTTGCTGGTCCTGTTGACTTCGACTCATGGTAACCGCATGGACGTCAGAGTAGAACTGTGCTCCATGAGATTTCCCATAGTTCATATTTTGGAAGTATATCGCCAGGCCTTTCTTCCAATGCATCTCTGGTGGACTTGAACCTCCAACCTTTGAGTTAGCAGCCAAACACATGACCCAGTTATGATATCCAGGGACTCCTCTGAAAAAGCACACTAAGACTTGAATTAAAGTTTGGCTTCCTTTTCCTAGCGTGTTTTATTACAACAATTTGGGATGCAGAATTTGGGTCAACATTTGTTTATTACTGAAACACTATGAATAGTTTCTTAAAGGAGAAGAATTACTAATACCTAGGGAAGCAAAGCAAGGCCTAACAGTGAGAGGGGAGGAACAAGGGCAAGAAAGAAAGAAACCAGAAGAAAGAAAAAGGGAAGAAGAGTTAAAAGAGGTCGAAATCTCTCCCAGTTTCCTAGCATCATAAAGACTTTTGGATAAGTCAAAACTGTCCACTTTGGTGAAGAATTTTGCACTTCACAGAAGTCAGAAAACAAATGACACAATGACAACAGGCTGATTGCAATCATGTGTGTGACTCATTTCTTAACTGCCCTTCAAAACTATTCATTCAGAATAACAAAATAATTATGTATCCCCTATTGTTTCACGGATTTCATTTACCTCCATTATTTCATTGTTGCATTTACCTCAGTAATGTGTTCGGCATATTCGTCAAAAGGTTTTCCATCTTTCCTGTTGTAAAACGTAGCTACTCCTACTATGTTGTCTTTCTTGTTGACAATTGGCAGGGACAGGACATTTTTAATGATCCAGCCAGTTTCATCTACAGGTCCTTTCTGCAAATAATAATGATGTCATTTAGGTTATTTCTTTAAACTTGTATTTGGAAATATTTATAGATTCACTGGATATGCAAAAAAATAGATACAAAGAGGTGCTGTGTAGCTTTCACCCAATTTTCTCCAGTGGTAACATCTTGCATAACTATCTTGTATACAATATCACAACCAGGTAGTATGCCTAAGATTTAAAAAATAAGAAACTAACAAATGCTGGCAAAGTTATGAGAAGACTGGAACACTAACTTATTTCTGGTGGGACTGCAAAATGGTACAATTGTAATGGAAAACAGGATGGTGGTGCCTCAAAGAGCTAAGACTAGAATTACCATGTTGTTGTTGTTAAATGCCATCGAGTTGGTTCCGACTCATAGCAACCGTATGTTGGTGTTGCACCATCCTAACAATTGTTAGGTTTGCATGTCCATCCACCTCATTGGAAGTGGGTCTTCCTCTTTTTTGTTGACTCTCCACTTTACCAAGCATGTTGTCCTTCTCCAGGGGTTGGTCACTCCAGATAACAGGTCTGAAGTATCAGTAGGGACCAGTCCCTGGAGAAGGACAGCATGCTTTGTAAAGTAGAGTCAGTGGGAAAGAGGCAGACCCTCAATAAGATGAACTGACACTGTGGTAGGAACAATGGGCTCAAACATGGCAACAATCATGGAGATAGCACAGGACCGGGCAGTGTGGCGTTCTATTGTACACAGGGTTTGTTGTACACAGCAGAATGGACTTGATGGCTAACCGAAAGGTCGGTGGTTTGAACCCACCAGGCACTGTGTGGAGAAAGGTGTGGCAGTCTGCGTCTGTAAAGATGACAGCCTTGGAAACACTATGGGACACTCTGTCCTATCGAGTCACTAGGAGGCAGAACCAACCCAACAGCACTGGGCTTGGTTTGGGTTGTATGGTTAAAACAAAGCTTCCAGGTGATTCTAACCATTGACATAAATGCTCTACTACTCTGGTAATGTAGTGGTTACGAGTCAGGCTGCTAACCTCAAGGTCAACAGTTTGAAACTACCAGCCGTTCCATGGGAGGAAGATGAGTCGTTCTGCTCCAGTAAAGATTAACAGCCTTGGAAACCCTGTACAGGGTCACTATGAGTCGGAACCGATTCCACGGCACACCACCCACCCCCACCATCACTAACCCCATGGTTTAAGGTTTGAGTCCCTCCAGAAGTACCAGGGGAGACCTGGTGTGGCACTCGAGTGTAAATACTGCATTACTGACTACAACTTTGGCAACCCACCAGTTGCTCCTCCAAAACCCTGTACAGGGTGATTATGAGTTGGAACTGACTCAATGGACCTTAACAACAAGAAGCACCTAGGAAGAAAAACCTGGTGATGTACTTCTAAAAAACGCAACCATTAAAAACTCTATGCATCATAGTTCTACTCTGACACACAATGCAGGCCCCTTGGCAACTGGTTTTGGTTAATAGTTACAGCTTTAGAAAAAAGATACCATACATAGTGGTTTTCAAAGGCATTCAGAAGTCTTGGTTATCCTTGGAAATGTTGTGAAATCCTTATATACTTAATCCTTCATATGGACTAGGGACAAAAGCAATAGCAGAAACTCGATTCTAATACTTCTTTGCACAATAACTTTACAACCACAAGCACCCACGTACAGTTTAATAAGCTTCCAAAGTGAGCTTTCCTGACTCCGTCTCAGTTTTCCAGCTTCTTGGGCTTATGCTTTGCCATTAGTTAAAGCTTGTTGACAGGTATGTGATCGAAGGACCTAAGAGTTACAAATTAAAAGGACAGAAACTTAAAATTGAGAAAATTCTATCTGCTTGCATTTCTTTATTCATTCCTATGAATTAGGGTCACATTAATTGATGTTAAAAGTTTAACCCCTTAGTTCACTTCAAGTGAGGCTGAGGTAGACAGAATGATAGGCCCCAAAATGTCCTCCTCCTAATCCCTGGGACCCAGGGATTACATTATTTTATATGGTGGTGTCGTCGAGTCAGTTCCAATTCATAGTAGCCCTGTAGACTGGAACAGAAAGCCTCAATTTTCTCTTGCAGAGCAGCTGGTAGATTCAAACTGTGACCTTGCAGTTAGCAGCTTGGTGCACAGCCCACTATTGCCCCCACGGTTCCTATGACTTTATATGGCAAAGGGAAATTAAAATAGCATATGGAATTAAGGCGGCTAATTAGTTGAGATAATTAAGTAGATAGCCTGGATTTTACAGACTGTTCCAGTGTAACTAGACGGATCCTTGCAAGTGGAAAGAGCGAGCCAGAATCAGAGAAGGGGATGATAATGACAGAAACAACATCAGAATAAAGCAATTGTTGGCTTTGACCATGGAAGGTGTCACCAGCCAAGGAATTTGGAAGACTTCTAGAAGTTGGAAAAGGCAAGGAAATGAATTCTCCCCTAGAACCTCGAGACTTTGATTTTAACTCAGAGAGACCCATTTTGGCAGATCTGAAATCAACTTTCTGCTTCCAAAACTGTCAGGTAATACATACATCTCTGTTGTGTTAAGCCACCAAGTCTGTGGTAACTTTTTACTGCAGAGATAAGAAGCTAATACAAACAATCATGTCCTCACTGCACATTGTTAGCGATCCCCGTTATTTGTAAGTTTGCTCATTTTGACAGTAGCTCCCTTGGGCTTATTTGCTTTTCTGTCAGTCTTCTCAGGGGCACACAGGAAAAGTAAGTCCAAGGGTGAAGGCATGGGTAGGTAGAGACAGACAAGGAAGGCAGAGCAAGGAAGGAGGGCGGTAGGTGGTGAAGGATACCCCATCCTGTGTCTGCTTGGGGAAGGGAAATAGGAAGGGCACCTGAGGAGATTGGCAGGTCACAGAGTAAGTTAAGGAAAAAGGTTTGAGGGATAAAAGGCTGAGTGGAAGTGTTTTAAACCATAGTGCAGCTCCGAAAGAGTTTACAGGTCTGCTTGGGATACCTAGGGCCAAAATTTTTTGTCAGAGAACCCAGGAGTCTCCCAGGAATGGACTTATCATAGTATTCCTGCCCAGTCGTGGTTGGGGGCACCCCAGGGAAGTGTGGCCTCGGTGCCAACATGGCAGTCATTGGACAACATGCCTTTCATAGATGGAGACCTGAGGAGAACGTCTTCATGGGCACCACACTGATATTTCTTAGAGATCTGAGAAATTCTTACCAACTGGAGGTTTAGCCTACAATGGGGGCTCCCTGAAGTTCCCAGCCTCCTCTCTGACAAGGTAATCAGCCGTGTGAGACCACAGTGTGACTTCAGAGGAAACACAGCCCCTCAAACCTCAAAGAGCAGCCGGAGTTTCTCCTGAGCTAGTTCTACTCCCACTTGCTGTTCAGACAACCGCTTCTGGTTCAGACCCTTCAGAAACCCAATTTCCCCATTTTTTCCTGCCTCTGCATTCTTCCTGAATAACCAGTTACCATAAATATAGGGGTCAGAACTGGGAACAGTGGTGGTCACAAGTAGGCTTTAGCTGCAAGAGGAAGAAGCAAGAGCAAATGCCACCATATGGTATTTGTGTGTTTTCTATGTCTGTGAGCAATGGAATGAACAGGTAAAGCTGAGGAAAACCTTTCATTTAACAAAGCCAGCGGGTACAGGTTTCCTCAAGGTCTGGTTTGGCTCTGCTGCCAAGGACAAACCACTCACACCCTGAGGTTACTGGCTTTTCCATCTAGGCATAGTTAGGACTCTGTGTGTGTGTGTGTGTGTGAGAGAGAGAGAGAGAGAGAGAGAGAGAGAAAACAGAAACACAGAACTGAGCAACCCTGCCGAGGAAAGGAAGCTTCAGGTCTGACTGCCAGCTGGCAGTGTGATTCTTGACTGGGATTAGCACTTGAACTGGAAATTTGCTAAACACAGGACACAGAACAAGTATCAAAAGGCAGAAAAGAAGAGGCTTTGGAGTTATAATGTCAGTTTGTTTCCCCCCCCCCCCCAACCTTCTGATGGAGGCAAAGGCATAAGCTGACAGGCTCATCCTCAAGCTAGACTGGGTGAACCTGGGAAAGGAAGGCAGGAACCCCTAGTTCCTGTAGCCAGGTCCAAGAAAAAAATTGTGATGAGGAGGAAGAAGTGAAGAGAAGTGGGCCACTTAGGCAAGGGAATCCTGGGTGCTGACTGGGGATTAATTGGTGGTGAGGGGAAGGTGGATTCTCAGGAACCAAAGATCTGACAATAAAAGAGGCCCCCAAACCCATTAAGAACGCCCCCTCCCCTTGAGAACAGTTGCAGTAAGCTGTAAGGAACAGCTGTTAAGGAAATCACCAGAAGAATTGACTCGGAACCTAGAATATGCCCATCCAATCATCCATCCAAAAAGCATTCACTGTTTTTACAACTAGAAGACCAGGAGTGAAAAAGAATGGAGAAGTTGTCAGCTCATGTCAAGGTGACAGACAGTATGTCTCCTTCTCTCCTCCACTCCTCCTTTCCCTTCTTCCACCTCTTCTCCCTTTACTGAAGAGTCTGCTACATGGTGGTCCAGCCAGTGAGAGGGGGACATAGGCTGTGTGCATGCCTGCTGGCCACACCTGAATGTAAGGCCAGTTTGGGATGGAAGGGAGAGTCCCCACATTGCTGCACCTCAGAGACCTGGGAAAGGAGCGTTACCTGAAAAGTGAAGTATTCGTCTGTCTGCTGGGGCATTCAGCATGTTACAAATCTGCAAACCTGCTCAGGTAGAGACAATGGCCCACAGAACTGACTAAGGAAGAACTGGAGTGAAGGTTTCTTACACTGCTCTGCTCTGGAAATTATTCAAGCTCCATTTAGCTAGGTCAGATTTGCTAACAACTCTTTGAAGTTAGCACCTCTTCTGCTCACTGGGTTATTGGGTGACATTTAGCCAATTCTCTCTTCTTTCCTACACTCCCATCCTCTAAGGGTTTCCCTTTCAAATTCAAAGCAATTAGCTGTTTGGGCCTAGAAGAGGAACAGGTTTAGCAAAACTCTGCTGGGGGCTGGGGGGTGGGGTGATTTGTTTTGTTGCATTTTTGGCTTTTGTCTGATGTGTGATGTAAATTAAAAGGAGCAGGCTAGGGATCAGGAGAAAAATAAGCAGTCTTTTAATTATATCTAAGTACAGATTCACTGAGGAACAGCATTTGAACTACCAGAATTCAGACGATCCCTTAAGTTTAAAAGGACAAGAAATCATTTCACTTTTGATCATTTTTTAATATCTGAAATTCTGGTCATATTTACAAATGGGCCATAATAAAAAACTGTATCCACCCACCCCCATCAACATTAAAAAAGGTTCTTAAAAACATAACATTTTAAAGCTTGGAAGGACTTCATAAATTGAGTTCAAGCTTTTCCTTTTAAAGAAAAGGATATCAAAACCCCATGAGGTTAAATGATTTATTTAAACTCATAGAATAAAACTTGGTTCCTACTGAGGGTGCTGGTAAATCAGCTTTTCTGGGGAAAGAGGGAAAATCTTGATTTGTAGCATTTTCCAGTTTCTACGGCATGTCTACTTCTGTGGGCAATTACAAGCTGCCAACCATTTAACAACTTGCTCACAAATTTTCTGAATTTGTGAATCTTGTCACAACTGGCATAGGGGTGGGAGCAGTACTATTGGCTTCTCACGGGTTGGGTTTTGTTGTTATTAAGTGTCATTGGGTTGGTTCCAACTCAGTGACCCTCTATAGAGTTTCCAAGCAGTGGCTGGTGGGTTTGAACTGCTGACCTTACAATTATCAGTCCAGTACTTATCCTACAGCTGAAACCATCTAATATTCTTGCAGAGAGGGATCTTAGTACCCAAAATCTATATAGATGGTGGAGAAGTCAACTAGGAAGAGAAACTGGCCAGGAAAAAGAAGAGAAGTTTGGTTGAGGATGGGTGTATTGCTACGTTGGCTCAGGTCCTCTGGCCCATGCTACCATGGAGCACACCACAGACCTCTTGGTTTTCTTCCCATTTTGACCTTTTTCAGTCAGGTTCACTCCATCCCACGCAACAGACAAGGGGGATAAGTTTTCATTTCCTTTAACAACTCAGCATGTTTTATATTGCAATCAGTAGTAAACTTCTCTTCTTATTTCTCTTTTTTTGCCAGTAGTTTTCCATGCTTCAAAAGCCTTGACAAAGGCAACTGTATCTAGCATTGAACAAATCCAGCCTGAATCATAGTCATTGACTTCAGGGACATCTAAGATTTGTGTGGCTGCAGATTAAGAAGTTGGGAGGATGGATGAATCTTTTCTCATGTTAAGTAAATATTTCATCTTGAGTTTAGAAGTCTCCACTTAACCTACATAAGACTCGCTAGGTTCTTGAACCAAAGGAAGTGGCAAGCTCATCTTTCTTTATCTGGTCATATTCTTGTTTTCAATATATATATATAAATCTCTTCGCTAATAAGATTTTTATGCAATATGATTTAGAATGAAAATGTGTTCAATAACTTACAAATCCATTTTCAGCAACATAAGTAAGCAACCCACTAACAAGAGTCCAGTGGTCTGCAGGAGGTGTACTTTAGGAAGAGTAGAAGAAAGAAAACCATGGTTATGCAGACAAATGCACAATGGACAAAGATAACAATGGCAGCTCACACAGTCGCTTCATTTCAGTCGCTTCATTTCAGTACTCACGGAATCACTTTGATCTCTTCTGTTCCGTGTAAAATGTAATCAGTGATTTTAAACAAGATGATTTCCTAGGGGGGAAGGGGACATGATGAGAACAATCTGACTTCCAGAAGAAATCACTTCTCATTGAGGAATCTACACTTTAAAACCCATTCAAGCACATAGTATTTATTTCCCAACTATATTACTTTCTGCATAACATAAATTACCCAGCTTATAAGTTAACTGGAAATATTATTGGTTGTTTATCTGTATGCACAAGCTTGTTTAGCTAAATGTCATTTTTTAAAATGGAATTCAACCAAATAGCTTTTAGGGGCATTTAGCTTGCAGATCACCAGTTAGTCTGTGTGGATTGTGGATTGTTTGTTTTTAATGGATCTCTTTTTGTTGTCCAGAAATACCTGATATTGATTACTTTCCTTACACAAACCATCTCATTTCTCAACCTTGGTTAATGCTTCCCCTGCCATCTGTACAATGCGAACTTTAACCTCCTTCTAGCACTGGCTAATCTGAACTGGTACCTCAGAACTACAAAAGGACTTGAAAACCAGTCCATTTATCTCATTTGGCAGATGAAGAACCTGATTTGAATTCATTCCATCTCATGACCTCCCCTATCCTGTGTGCTGGGTCACAGTGGTGAGTAAAACAAACATGGGTCCTGCTGAAAAGTCAGTCTAACCCAAACACTTCCTGGAGATTTCAGTTCTGAAGAAGGGCCTGAGTAACCAGTGCCTAAAGAGCTGCACAGGGAGCTCAGATGCATCCTCCCTAATGAGAACCACTGATCTGCCAAGTCCTGGTTCTACAGGAAAGGAAACAGACAGGTCAAGGCAAGGGCTACACTGTTGGCTTGAGGTACAACTGAGACTTGAGCCTCATGCTCCTTGTTTATTGCTCTTGCTGTTTCTCCAGTGTCTCAAGGAAAGTTATAGAACTAGAATCCAGGTCTTCTCAGGCCAGTACTAATTTCTCTGCAGCATGGCTTTGTAACGTTAGCACCTGAATACTATGCAGATATCATCAAGAAAGATGTTTACACTTACTCGGCCATCTGGTGTCTTTGGGCCTTCATAAGTTTCGACTTCTCCAAGCTTGACTGGCCATTCATCATAGAATTCCTGTAGGAAATGATAATTAACATTATATTATGTTTAATTATATGACTACCATATTATATTTCATTA